AAGTGAGATAAAGATATCTGATGAGAAATTCTACTCAAAGTATTTTAAAATACCAGGATGTATATCTATTGATGTTCATGCTTACTTCAAAAAATTATATCTAAAATCAGAGGCAAGTTCACTTAAATATTATCTAGATGTCTGTGGATTAGATAATAAGGCAAATATGCCCATTCATATTATGAATAAGTATTACGAAGAAGCAATACTTCAATCCTCTGATGTTTTTACAAAAAATATGCACGAAGTGGCAAATTATTGTACAATAGATGCACTGAGATGCCAAGAACTCATTGTTAGGTGTAATGTAATCAATGACTATAAGGAAGTATCATCCATTGCATATGTCTCTCTTTCTAATTCTCACTATTTCGCAGGAGGTATGAAGGTATGTAATCTTTTAGATACTGAAGCTTGAAGTCATAATATATTATGCAGTATAATTCCTCGTGAAAATACAGAAACTGGTAAGTACCTGGGAGCTTATGTCATCGTATCGACAAAAGGTTTTGAAAATAAACGTCCAGTAACTGAGTTAGATTTTGCATCTCTATACTCAAGTCTTATTATGACTTATAACCTTTTGTCTGATAAGATTATACTATCCTGTGAAGAAGTTATAAATATACTTTATGCTGGGAAAAAGTTTCACAAGATTGAGTTCCCATTCAATGGTCAAACTTTAGTTACTTGCACTAGTCAAAAATTGATAAAACATATATATATTGGGTATCTGATATGTGTATGTTTTATCAATTTTCGACCAGTGTTGATCTGTTCGCCATAATAATATATTCAAAGATAAAGGTCTCTATGCTAGTGTATTGGAGAACTTGTCTAATAAGCGAAGTGAGATGAAAAAATGTCTTTGTGAATTGGATGAGAAAAGTTTCGAATATAGTTGCTTAGATTCCAAACAAAATGTGACAAAATTATATATGAATACATTTTATGGTGAGACAAGTAATAATCTCTCTTCATTTTATTTACTTAAACTGGTAGGCGGAATTACTTCAGCTGAACAGTGTAATATTAAATTTGTTAAAAAATTTGTTGAGGATAAAGGGTTCAAAGTCAAATATGAAAATACTGATTCTTTATATCTTATTTGTCCTGAAGAATATTTTCAAAAATACGATTGGAAATACAAATTGGGACAATTATCACAGAAAGATTATTGGAAAGAAATGGTAAAAATCTCTATGGATGTAATGGCTAAGTTTTGTAATGAAGTAAATATTGAACTTGAAAAAAATAATGGAATACCCTATCTCAAGATGGAATATGAGGAGTTCTTATTTCCTGTGGTATTTACAGGGAAGAAAAAATATTATGGTCTTGAACATAAAAACGAACCAAATTTTGACCCAGGTAAATTTTTTATTAGAGAAGTAGATATTATAAAGAAAGGTCAATCCAAGCTTTCCGTGATGTAAGTGAGGAGATTATGAATAGGACTATGAAGGTTGATAATGAGGAGACAATACATCAGATTGTTGAAAATGTTCTTTGGGAAACTGTAGAAAAACTTTCTAAGTTAGACTACGATAAATTTATTCAGACGTGTATATGGAGACCTAAAAAAGAGGGTAAGCGAGAAAATATCTCAATAAAGCGTTTTGTCTCATGGATGAAGGCTAAACATTTACGTGAGGTAATAGAATCTCAACAACTTGTAAATAGAGGATTCCCTTCTAAAGAATATCTTTTTAAAGCTCCTGAACCTGGTGAATGATTTAGTTATATTGTAGTAGAACCTGAAGTAATTTACGATAAATATGGAACTAAAATATCACAGAAAAAGAAGGATTGTATGGAGTATGTGAATGTAGTAAAAAAGTTTAACAAAAAAATAAATATCGATTATTATACCCAAAGCTTATTTGCCCTCTGTGCCCGTTTTATAAATTATGATAATAAATACTAGCTATTATCTGAATCTCTGGCAAAAGCCTTGGATCGTAAAAAGAAATCAAAGGAGAAGAAATCAAAAGATATTAAGAGTTTATTGCAAAACAATGACTCTCCGAGTCTAGATGAAGATGAAATAACAAATGTAAAAGATGAAGAGTCACAAAAGTTAGCTATAAAATGACTTAAAAGATATATTAAAGATTTACGTGATGATCCAAAAAAAAATGAAGCCATTATTTCCCATTTATAGAAAGATGCCATCACTCATGCTAAAAAAATATGTTCTGGTATTAGTGAAGTTGGTATGACTAGGTCTTCAGGTATCTCTACGAGATATAATGATTACCTTAATGCATTAGATAAGATTGTGGGTTCTACTCGTTCGAGATTATCAAATTTACTTTCAAAATTGTCTAAGCTTAATGTGGATTATAAAAATGCAATATACGAATTAATTGTGCAGACACAGAAATACAAGCCTGATATTATGATTTTGGAAGAATATATATTTCGATTTAATCTGAAATCAGAGTGTGAGGTATTAATAGATTTCTGGAATACATGATACAAGGTAATTGGCCTTAAGATTGCACGTCTTTAAGTACTATCTATTATGCAGAACAGTAAAAAAGACAACCCATTGGAAGTAGATATTGACGAGATTGTTGACCTATATTGTTAAGTGATCTTGGTTAGAATTGCCAGACTCCACTAAGATACTTATGCAGTAGATTATTTATTCGTACATAATTAATAACGAAATTCAAATAGATTTATTAATAACTATAGTCATAATTCCTCGATGCTTGTAGCGTATCATGACATTTCTTACAAACTATTCAAGGATATTAAAAATTCAAAGATGCTGATTGATTATAGTTTTTTTTCCCATGAGCAATAATCTGATAATTTGAATATTGTTCCATCAAATCCCTTATACTTACATTCTCATTCTTTGCTATATATGCTTTATGAATACTATCTATCATAACTTTTATCGCATTCTTATCATACGATTAAAAGGCTCTAGTTTGAGGGTGATGATATCAGATTTCTTAAATTTATGTTCACTGTGAAATCTCATCCTTACCACCATAAAGAAATATGTAACAATGCAATCTATATACAATGGTGACAATATTTCCTTACAACTACAACAAATACTAGGCATAATTAAAAACTATTATATTTTTGTATACGAATAATATCCAAGTTCAAATAGATAGTCTCGATTACTCAATTCACATATCCCGCAACTGATTATTTTTTTTACCTATACCCCATTCACGTCTTAGTATCCACATAATCACAATAATTAACAAGGTAAGAAAGATATATGCCGATAGTGATGACACCAAACTACTTGCCACAATGGGAAGAGGCAAAGCCTCGAAATTAGGTCCCATCTCTTCTATCTCTCCCATCAAAATCTGAAGATGTGATTCAATTATAGAGGCGGTATTATTTTTCTACTGTGCAAGGTGAAGAGTTATATTTTTGGGTATAATCTGTAATTTAATTGGACTGGTGAGGTCTCGACTTTATTCATTAATAATAATTCAATAAAGAAATACATGAAGAATAAA